AATAAATGGTCAGTGAAAATACGACACGCGCTAATTTATTTTAGCTATTTATATTGTGTCTTTGATATTATCTATATATAGACACTTGGAAGATAGTATTGAATAGAGAAAGTGCACAGATGTTTCTATGTTAAAGTATAAGCAGCATGTGCCAAGTGTTATTTTCTCTCCAATACACGAGTTTTTGCTGATTTCCTAATCGTCCTAATGAACTAGAAATTCCTAAATATTACACATAAATTATCGACGTTTCCGGAGAAAGTAACACATTGATGCCCGTTCTATTCGCGATACCCTTTAAATCTAATTATTGCTTATGTTAGACGCGCGACGCGGTTCTCGCGAAAGTGTCGCGGAATTGCGCGAGAGCCCGAATTCTTGCGTCATTGTTCTTTGCCCTGCCACCTGAATAAATCGACGCGGCAAGTATCGAAAGATCACGCGTTCGCGGCGACGAAGGTGGGGGAGGCGGTTGGTCACGTAATGTATCCTAAAGGAAACATCCTCAAGGTGGACGACCATTAGTGTATACTATACGACTATACGCGCGATGACTCAACTTCTATCGCGCGAGAGTCGTAATGACACGAGGCGTGCGATTAGATCTCGAGAAAACTTTCGATCGCGATTAATGATTAAAACGCTATCGAGAGATCATCTGTTTTTCGGTATCGTACATGTACCAGTCCTCACATTCGTATTGTTTGCGCGCAGAGATTTCTCGACTAATTTTCCAGATCCGCGAATTTCCCCATCCTGGCGAAAATTTTACCGCACTTTACTATACAATTTTTTTTCAATTAAAAATGTTATATATAAGCATACCTTTAACGCTATTGTTTGGAATAAATGAGAATAACTGCGAACACGACGAGCGATTATTATATTTCAGGATCGAATTAAAATGCTGAATTTTGATCATAATTTAATTTTTCTCGAACCTTCTTCTAAACGTGGTAGAATATAATTTAGCTTTGAAGGCAAAGTTATCGTTTCTGAACGAGCATTTCAAAATAGTTTCGACCATCGTAAGATGCGAGTGCCGTGTTGTTTTGCGTCGGCGTCGCATAACGAGAGAATCGATCGCGAGAGAGAGCTAGGCTGTCCTGCACAGCTGATATTTACCATTTTTGTTATTGTCGCGTACACAACCCAGCGAATCGACCCAGGTCCCTTCGACACGGCACCGGCGGCGCAATTCGCAAACGCGTGTCAGATGCTTTCTCCCGCAGTATTTCCCACTGCGCGAGGAACGATCGATCGCCCCCATTGCGTGCTTGGTACACGTATCCCGACCGTAATTGCCGTATCTCCGTCGGCTGCTGCGGATTTCCTGCGAAATACATTACGTTTCTTTACGTCGGACGAAACGAATGGGGCGTTGATCACCTGAGGTTTTCAAATTTTGTATAACGTAAAGGTAATTCGCACTTCCACGCGAGAAATTCTAAACGATGGTCCTAACGATATCTTCATTATAAGAGTTTCTCACGGTAACTTTCCATTTTCCAAAGTTTCTTGAAGTGTTGAAGCCTATAGTATTTATACTTACAGAATATAATATATTGCGCAGGTGTAAGATACCAAATTCTTATAGCAAGTACGAGAACTTGTCCAAGTATTTTCTATATGTTTGAATAATATTACATTATATTTTTGATACTTGCATCATCATCTCTATCAACTTAGTCCATACGTATTTTAAATTATGTTTCTATACATTATAGTTGTTTGAATTTATAAACCGTGCATAATAATCGGGTCAATAACCGGCTATTATCGAACACTTATCCTAAACTTGACGCGACCGTAATTTCTTTCTCCACTACACACACACACATCTGGTATTTTCAGTCCTCTATCAAGCTCACAGATAATGAATGTGCAACGACGTACCGAATCGATGCTAACAACGCGCATCTTTGTTTTTTTCCCCCCCACTATACCGGTTCACGTTCGATCACTCATTTGCGTGTTAATTCATTCTCATTTATAGTTAGCATACATGGAAATACACGGAACGTAATTATCGTCGATTACGCGGAAAATAGAGAGACCGAAACATAGAATATTCTGTGAAGTTACAAGTGTTTCGTTATCGCGTGACCGCCTATCGTGCCTCACCGCTGAGTCTGTAGCGTAATTAGTTTCTACTAGTATCAGAGAAAAAGAAGCGGAGACCGAATAGTCAATGAAAGCATCATTCTGCTTCTCGTGATTGACCGAGGCGAATCCTTTTAAATTTCCGTGTGTCGTTCCGTACAATGTGCGCGCGCGCGTCATGGTGTCCAGACGCTAGACGCATTTATTTTTATTTTCTCTTATTCTACACTCTGCGACTCCCTTCTCTAATTCTAATCTACGACTCCCTCTCTGCGTAATGACTTTGAGAAAATGGTTCCAAGGAATAATTTCACCTGGACTCCTGGAATAAAATTTTAAATTTAGATACACTGAAGTTGTATCGATTTTAATTCCTGGAATAATTAATGCGCCGTTAATTGTTATAGTCGATTGGCATCGTTGAAATATCTTTTAACGAGAGATATATTTTGTTTCACAGGAAGAGTGCTCTGGTCGTCGCTGCCGTCGAAAGAGGAGGCTTCTCGGGCACTGGGATCGTCCCTCGACGTCTCGGATGGGCACGACGGCGAGAGGAAGCAAACGAGGAGGCGGCGGCACGCGAAGGGTATCGGGGGAATCGCGTCTGGCCGTGTAAAAAGGGGTGGAAGCGGAAAGGGGGTTGAGGACCATTCGTTGTGATCTTGTCGGACGAGATCGAGAGAACATTTTCCCTCTTTCGGCTTTTTTCCGCGACTCTTTCGCGAATGTTTTTCGGGACTTTCCAGTCTCTCTCTCTCTTTCGCTCTTTCCTCTCGTGTTTATGATATATAAAATAACTCGATCCACAAGTACCGAGCAGCAGGAAGCAAAATATCGTAATATGTCATCATAAAATGGAACATTTGAGAGAGTATCCTTGCATGTAATCGGAACGAAGTTACCAAAATCTATTACTGTCACGTGAAACATACCGAGCACAATTGAGCCATATTTAACTTGCGACGCGACGCGATTGACGCAAAGTTGTTTGTTGATATTTTTCTATTAATTATCAAATGTATAAGATAAACTAGTCCATCAAGTATAATCAAACTAGTCCATCAGGTAGTCTCACAGTATCTTTTTAATGTTAAATTATCGATCCAATTAAATGGCTGATGCAACGCGTTTTCTTATTGAAAAGTCATAACAAATGATTATTTAAGCCGTAGGCTATTCACATCATTAATCACGATTACAAATGACTAAATTGCAAGCATTAATCGTCAATACGCGATTGTTTGATAAATCCATCGGTCGTTAATCCGGCTATACTCTGCCCAATTTTGTCGGAGGGTTCGGCGACGCGACCGTCAGCGACGGCGATGAAAACGGAGGTGACGACGGTAGCGCGATTCCCGCCGTGGGAACGATAACGAGGTCCGCGCGGCGGCAACGGGGAACGATATTAATAACGGTGATGACGAGTCGCAGGTGGAATACGGAGCGCGCGGGTCAATGAGGAAATTCTCGGGCGCACGAGGTGCGCCTACCTTCTGAGCGCCAGCGGGGAAACGAGGTGGGGGCTAGCGATAGGGTGGGAGAGAGAGAGAGAGAGAGAGAGAGAGAGAGAAAGAGAGAGAGCAGCGAGTGGGGATAACTGAGAGTGGGACAGAGCGGGACGGAGCATACCGAGCGGAAACAAACGACGGGCAACAAAACACTGAGGCGCGAGGCACGCGGGTCGGAGAAACATGCGGATCTTTGTGCGAACAGCTGAACCGGAAGTCGAGCACTACGCTTCAGTCTAATCGCACGCCGCGCCGCCGATAGGGTCAGTCGGTTAAAACGGCTGGCTCCGAAGGCGACGGCGTGTCTCTCGCGCGTAACCATGTTCAGGCCGACCGAAACGAAAGGTCGAAAATACGCAATACGACACAAACGCCTATCAGTTTGAAGCACATATTATATATTGTTGAACTTGATTTTGATAGCGATTTAATTTCGATAGCGTCGTAATCTCCTGAAACATCTGCACGACAAAACGTGGAAGCAATTACTAACATACGCACTAATATCGTTAAATCGCTCAAATGAAATTAATGTAAATGTTAAATCTAGACTGAAAATCTGGCTGGCTGGTCTCGTGTTAGAGAACGAGGATATAATTTCTTGATACATATATCGGCATATACTTTGGTATTAATAAACATACGCGCGGATCGTATATACGTCTTCAATTCGCTGCGGAACACGTGTCACGCGTGTGTCTACTCTATATAATGACGCGTATATGCGCGACTGTTGGTCGGTGCAACGTTCTTCGATTAAACAACGCGTGTCGCGGTTACTCCGTCCGTTTCATCCGTAAAACGAAACCGACGCGTTAAACGTCGCGCGATTCGAAATACACTCGGATTGCGTAACCGCGAGGTAGTGTTCCTAACCTGGGAAACCCTTCGTAATTAAGAGTTGTTTGGCATCCGTGGCCGGCATCCAAATTTACGTTCTCGACTTACAAACTTATTTAGGTAAAAATAAACGTGACGCAATAACATAAACAACGAACTCGGATTATAGCTAAATATAAGAATGATATCTGAATGAGATAAATACATATCGTGCGCAAATAGGTAAATAACCTTGCAAGTATAATATAATATTTAAAAATTAGCGAGCCAGATGTTCCGAAATAGATATATATTTTACGAGATGGGCGAATAAACGGGAAAAGACTCGTTCGCTTTTCACTTTCGGTCGCGCCGAAATTTCCGCGTCGCGATACAATTGCACCCCTCTGTTTCGCACATTTCCGCATGCGCGTGCGCGTTCGTGGCCGCGTAAAGTCGCGTGCGTTCTCCCGGCGAGTAGCGTCGAGTAGCGACGTTCATCGTCGTCCACGTTCCCCGCGTCGGATTTTAACTCGCAAGTTTCCCATGACCCCGTCCTTCCTGCAGAGATCGCAGCGGAAGCGGCGACACGAAGAAGAGGCGGCGAAACAAGAGGAGGAAGAGACGTGAGTTTCGGCGATTCTACGGGCAGTGTCTACGCGTGTGTGCGGTGGCCGCGTGACAGTGCACGTGGAAACAGTGCGTGGTGAGACAGTGCGCGCGCGGTGCAGTGCGACAAAGGTAGAAAGGGGAAGAGGAAGGAGAGAAGGAAGACGGCGAAGCTGAAGGGTGGAATAAACGCAGCGCGCGCGAGCGTGTGGAAACGAGAGAGGTGAGGAAAGGAGATAGGAAACAAGACGACTTTTTCTCCGCGAGCGAGCGAGCGCGCGCGCGCGCGCACGCTCGGCGACGTGGAGTATGCTGTGGAGTGACGTCGCGGCGTCGCGGATTTCACGGATCGATCGGCCGATCGAATTTTCTAAATAGGATACGCGCCGCCCCGCGTGTGTGTGTGTACCATATGTGTACGGGCGCGCGTGTGTGCGTCGTAACTGCTGCACGGAAGAAGAATCGTCGTCGACGTCGTCCGCGCCCGGCCAGGCCGGGCCGGTGAATCGAATCGCCGCGCCGGTGGATCGACCGTCGACCGCCGCGGGAAAACTTCAGATCCGGTTCGCTTTCCACGGCTGACGTCATTACCGGTGAGTCACTTTTTTCTCCGTCTTTTATTCATATTTTTTCCCGTTTTCTTTTCGTTGGCTCGTGTTGTCGTTGGTGGCGTGACCGAAATGCGGTTTAATCCACAATAGTTCAAAGACAGCAAGTTTTATGTTCTTTCGTTGAATCGAACCAAACATCGGGCGACCGAGAGAAAATACCGAATCACGATCATAGAGAAAAGAAGATAGGGGAGGTGGCGTGGATCACGTTTGTAATCCTCAAAATCCTTTCCCGCCAAAGTTTCATTTCTTCTTCTCGCATCGTTATGCAAGATCGATGAGCATAAAACTGAACCACCTCAGGTCCAGGTTTAAAGTTGAACTTTGGAATTTCGGTAATTTTGAAGTTGTAAGTTGAAGCCACCTAAAGTATCAGTGTTGTCGTGAATAGTAACGTCGTGGATTTTGAACGCGCCGTGGAAAAAGTTATTATTTATAAGACGGTAGAAACTTGCCTTATTAACTATCTATAGTCTATACAACATCGTAGAACGAGTCGTTGCCATTGCCGTAACCACGAGGATATGGAGGAAAATTATTTTTGATTCATGATCGCGGCGCTATCGGTCCCCGCGGCTTTTAAACTCACTTTTTAATTGAGTCTCAACAAGAAATGAAGACGTCTACGTAAATGGTACTGATTATTCGAGTCCTCGTCTTCGGTAAACACAAACGCGGGAGGCGAAATTAACTGTTGATCGTAACCATGGTGGGATACATGCACATATGTTTCTTGAGGACCGTCGGTCTGTCGTGGCATTAATTACCGCAACGCTGTTGGGGGCGTAGCGTGCGTGCGTGGAATACACGCGTGACGTGTACGCGTCAGCGAGAAAGTTCGCAATTACCGTAATTTAGCTGCAGCTCGCGGGCGCGCGAGCGAGCGAGCGCGCCCGCGGTCTAGCTTATGAAAATGTCCAAGGATGAATGTATTCACGAGCACTTCGGGGAGAGAGGGAGAGAGAGAGAGAGAGAGAGATGCGCCGTTAATAACGTCATTCTTCTTCTAGCGGCATTTCTTGCGTTAACGATATTTGCCGGGTATCTGTCTTGCTTATTAAAGTACGTGGCCTAGAATCGCGCCGCAGTGTCAGGTTAATGGGACACCATACTTTCCGATTAGCCGGCAAGTCACGTTAATCCGCCGCTATAATTATCGCGAGCGATATTTCTCAATGATTTCAGAGCACTGACGAGCATCCTGCGGGAACGGAACATCTCACTGAATTACAGAGATTAAAACCATGTTGCGCTAATATATCCATTTACATCTACGAGATTTCTTCAAAAAAATTAAAGACGGATGTTTTTTTTTCGCGGAGACATTTCTTGCGAGCACATATGGCCCGCTAATTTTAAAGTTCTGGCGGAGCGTGTGTTTGATACGAACGTGTGTTTGATCCTCTCCAGGTAACGGCTTGTTGGTCGGTTTACGTGTGCGTAGCGTGTTGCGTTCCCGCACGACCGTGTATTGGTGTGCGTGAACTCCGCGCTGCTGGCTACTCCGTCAGGCGAGTCCGTCGTTCTTCTTTTCCAAGCGTGAGGAAAGATGGCCGCTCGTGCGAGCAGTGCGAGCTGCACGGTTCGCGCGTCTGTCTCTCTCTCTCTCTCTCTCTCTCTTTGTGCAGTTAGACGAGACGCAGACGCTGACTGGCAAGACGGTTTTAGAGAAAGTTGGAGCGAGGGAAGAGTACCGGGGTGTATAATGAAGGGCACATGTCCGCCGCCGGGCGGTAATTTTTAGAATAGTAAAACGCGTTATAAACGCTCGTCGATGATTTTTAGAGGCTCGGGTTAGCGAATCGCGTTAACCGAAGAGCTTTACTTGTGAACGATGATTATGGATTTTATACAGTCGGAGACTGAGAAATGAATGCCGCGTGATACGTTTCGCGTTTTATATCTTAATTAATGTAAGATTAAGGTGTTGTGCGTAACGTTATGACGACAGTAATTTAATGAAATTTAATTTAACGTTTCTAATTACGGACAATCTTTCGAACATTTTGGATTATGATTTTATAAAAAAATGACGGGAAATTTTTCTCTCTCTCTCTACACTATTGAATTTCTTTTAAAACGATCGAACTGCGCCGAGTTCCAATTTTAGATTTGATCTTTGAACCCGATGTTCTTTTTATTCAACGAAAAACGAGTTTTGCCATAATATTAATCAGTTGAGCAGTTCCTGGACGATCAATATTATTGCACAATATTATTAATTGTCTGGAGGCTATATTGAGACTTGTTTTAAATTGTCTAAAGGAAATATCAATAATATTGTACATTATAATTGCACAATAATATTGATCGTCTAGATCGCTGCTTTACGGTGGCGAAGTTCAGTCGCTTTTGCATATGGATATACAACGACGGTTTTGCCGCTGCAACGGAGCTTTTTCCTTTTGAAGTTTTGTAGCTTTCTCTCCAACAAGGATCTCTAACCCGGATATAGGTCCAGCGCGCGTTGATGCGCGCGCGGCGGCGCGGCGCGGCGTCGCCTTTAATTAATTTATTTTTTCCCTATTTCCGCGCGTTTGTCACGGCCGCGCGAATGTCCTCAACCGCGTCGTCTCTCTCTCTCTCTCTCTCTCTCTCTCTCTCTCTCTTTCGCGCGTTATCTCTACCCCGCTTTTATAGACGTATTATATAGGACTCCGATATCGATCCCTCCGCGTTCCAGTACAAAACGACCGACAACCAGAGAGAGAGAGAGAGAGAGAGAGGGAGAGATAGAGACCGAGACGCGAAGAGTGGGAAGCGACGAGCTAGAAAGGGACGATACCGGAGGGGAAAGCGTGGAAACAGACGAAGGGACTGGGGGAGCGGAGAGAAAGAGAGGGGTGCGGAGGCGAAGAGAAAGCGAAAAGGGAATATATGGAACGAAGGCGGAAAAGATCCTCTTGTCGACGCATTCGTTACACTAAAATTCTCTATTCTTCCAACGCGAATTACGTTCTGTCCGCGGGGCGGACCGCGAGCGTATAAAAATAAAAAAAATAAAAAAACGTTGAACGAACGTCGCGAAACCATACCGGTTTGAGTTTTAATTTCGGACGTGGAGATTCGCGAAGGCAGCCCCCGTAATTTCGCTGACCAATATATATACGCGTCCTGGCCGCTCGGTGACACGGTCAAGTCTGAATGGTGAGAGAGGCGCGAGAACGCGTGTGCGTTGATTCAAAGACAAAGAGACTCGCGCGGGCGCGAGTCGGCTGATGACGCGCGACAGAAATACGCATGTCGTCGACTTCGTTCCGGGCAGGGTTCTCACCTTCTCGTCGAGCAGTTCCGCTTTAATAGCCGGCCCGCCCTGCGCTACCGTCGTCCGAACGTCATTTTTAGTTTAGCGCACAAAGCAGGTGCACGTACACGCCCCGGCTCGCATAAGATCCCCCTGTTCCCTCTCCCCTTTACTGCGTGCGAGCGTTCTGATAGCCGGTGGACGTGACATAATGCACCCCGCATCTCCCGGAAAGAGAAAGAGAAAGAGAGAGAGAGAGAGAAAGAGGGAGAGAGAGGGAGACAGAGATTACTTGTCACCGGCACCCGGCATCCGACTCGTTTACTGTTAATGAGATCTCGAATTCAGAGATGGTTATTTTTCTTCAAACTTTTATTACGCCTCCTCTTTGGCTCGATATTACTGCTATTCTTATTAATTATTTTGCATACGTAATTAATACTTAAAAATAATTTCCTTTCCAAGATAAGCACCTCAGAGAATTGTGAGAGAATTTTATAATTGTGAAATTTTGATATAAAATTTAGAAGCTTTTTTTCGAAAAGATCCTAGTAGAATGCACAAACAGTCTGAGAATGAAATGCAGAAAATAAGATGACAGAATGGAAACTTCATGTTTTCGTTATGCGGATATTGGTAATATCTTTTTTTATTTCAGTAGAACTCTCGGTGCATTTGACAATGAATAATAAATAATAAATAAAATTTTCGCGTGTGAAATGGCACACCGAAAGGCGTTGTAAATTTAGCTCAATGATGAAGCGATTACAATACATTTCCAACCGATTGAACACATTTCCCGTAATTTCACTTGTACAGCGATGGGTTTAACTTGTTTCTACATTGTTCGATTCGTACGCCCGTTTACATCGATGCAGCCCGCTCCCCGCGTCCGTGCGAAACTTGTGTGTCACTCGTGAATTTGATTTGCTCTCGATTCGTTCTCGCGAGCGATTCTCCCGCTGATGATCACTCGCACATCGATTACTATTAATGCCGTTATAATACGCCGGCGAGCGCCGACGTCTATTGCATATCGCGCGTCGCAGACTTTTCCTTTCTTTGCGGAATTGCAGCGGGCTCGCGTGACGACGGCTTGCTGTCTGGTGTAGAACGAGCAGACAGCACACCACCAACATTGCGCCAAAGTCCACGATGCTATACACCGCTTTCTATAGAACGATGC